CTTTGAGAGTTTAAAGTTGTTTAAACATGGCATGCAGCTTATTCATTCATTCATCCAGAAAAAAAGGTTATGACTCGTCATTACAGAGATTTAGAATAACGTTCAGGGCAAATAGCAAACCAGCCTGCGAGCAAGCTCTCCATTTGCGGGTGTCGCGAGAAGTCACGCGAGAGCACCACGCGAAAGGAAACGCGTTCTCTTGCAGCTCGCTTTGCTCGCCATAAATGAAGAGCTTGCTCCCAGGCTGATGCAAACTTTAATTTGTACCACTTGAGCAAGGTTTATCTCGAGTTTCCGTGTACTGTTCATTGTATGTACAGAAAAATGAGTTTATTCATTTCAGGTATATCTTGAAAACTATTGCGCACAATTGTTGTTGTTTTTATAGTTGTGCTTTGACATCTTTTTCTTCAGTCGTTGTTATATTCGAAAACGCACATCGACTTCGTCGTCGTTTTCATTATTTGTTTTTTAGAATCAACGAATTCGATCACACTTCACTTTTAATTGCCGCTTTCGGCGCAGGAAACCCAGGGACACAACAGACTCCCCGAAGCCAAACTGTAAGAATTTTTTGGGGAAGTTTATTAACTTCTTGTTTTCCTAAGAGGAACAAATGACCTTCATTGCGTCGAGGTAAGGAAGGTCTGTGGGTGCCTGAGAAGTTTAAGGAGGGCGTACGTTTGGTATGAATTTAAATGGAAAATAAGGCTACGCCAGGGGCTTATGATCATAAGCCCCTGGTCACACTTGGTGCCCCGAGCTCGGTGCTTGAGTACGCTACTCGTTGGGCAGTTATTGAATACGCCGTTTGAATTTGACTTCCTTGCCTGTACTCGAGTACAAGGTCAAGGCTTTGTATTCCGGCACTGTAGTGGTACCGGGTCCTCGTGTGCTCATGTTTTGTGTTAGTTCTAAAGGTGTTTCATGGGACGATTCGCAACGACGATTTTTAGCGCAACACAGCGTTGCAATGCTTAAACAATGTTTTAACCAGTCGCAACAATGTTGCAACGCTGTGTTGCGCTGGAAATGGTCGTTGCAAATCGTCTCTACATCACCTTAAGGTAATCCATTGCTTTTCATTCATAACGGTCTGCTGCTACGCTCACGTTTAAAAGTGGCGTCTGCTAGGACGAATGAAGGAAAGTGTGCACAAGGTTTAACCACGGTGGATCCGCCCTGGTTAAACATCTGGTTACCCAACGGAATGAACACCATTTTGTACAGGTACCCTAGGCACTAGTGGTCGGTACCAATCGTGAATTGAGCCTTGGTGGCTGGTAAACAGAAAGAAGTATCAAAGGGAGATAAAGCACTAATACGAGAAAATTTATTTTCTTTGTTAAGATTGGTTTCCATGTAATCGCTCAGATCGCTGACATTTTTACAGTGATCGTACAATCATGTAACCTCCCACGCAGACATCCTTAGGGGAGGAACATGTGTCGAAATCCTAAGGATGTTTGCATAGAAGGCCATCGCTTTCATGTATGTGGATACCAAGTTTGAGATAGAGTGGAAATCTATTTCAACGATCGTTGTGATTTCTATGGGGGTACGATCGCTAAAGAGTTGTTTTATAATGGTCGTTGCGTTGGCTGAAATTTTTGAAGTAATCGCAGCGATCATGTGGAAAACACATGTGCAGTAGATACTCTGGAAATACTTTGTTTTACTTGTTGATTGTTACTATGTCACTGTGTATCTTTTGTCTTACTGCCGAAAATAAATGATATCATTCCATAGCGTTTGGCTAAGATGTGTTAATAAGGCCATGTTCACACTATCCCGGATAGCTTTTGCGCAGGCGCTAAAACCATACCGTACAGGGCTTCTCTTCACACATAAGAACCGTGATTTCGGTGCGATTTCTGTAACGGAGAGAAGCTGCGTCGCGCAGATCACTGAAGTAGAGAGTCGCAAATCGGAAAGGCATTCACACTATTGCTGGTTTGCACGTGACGTCACGGCGGCCATGTTGGTGGTCAAGGACAAGAGCATTTCTCTCTTCTGGGAACTAAACCTTATTTTCATTTAAATTCTTCGAGAAAAAATTCTATTGTATTGACCACCAACATGGCCGCCTTGTCACGTGGTTGCAAACCAAGAATTGCTGGTTTGCACGTGACGTCACGGCGGCCATGTCAGATGACAAGAATAAAAGCATTTCTCTCCTCTGGGAACTCTACTCTATTTTCATGTAAATTCTTCAAAAAATTCTATTGTATATTTGTCATCCAACATGGCCGCCTTGTCACGTGGTAGCATACCAAGAATACCGGATAGTCGTGTCAGTACCCAAAGCTATCTGGTATCTGAGTGTGATCATAGCCAAGTTTGTCTCCGAAAGTAATAGTCATTCGTGCAGTTATTCTCCTACGGCGCACAATCAGCTGAATGTATCAAATTTAACTGGCTGTTTAAACACTCAAACGTAAAAATGGAGGCACTAATAATGTATATTATATTAGTTTTAACCACTTCGCCGTTAGCTCTCATTGTGAACAATCAAATTTAATTTGTAAATATGATGAAGGACAATAAAGATCAAATGTATTCTAAACAAAAAACGTGACTGAAAACTTGTTTCGCACTAACAGCGCAGGGGAGCTCTTGAGTAAAACTGTTGAACATATTTACGCAAGGTGAAAGACTGGATCGAGTGAAGATGTTATTTTACGTACGCGTAGAGTAAGCGCGCATTGAAAAAAAAATTGGGATGCGAATTAAACTTTTAGGGGATATGAAAATGCTAGGTTAAGCCATACCCGTAAAACGACTTGTTTCCCGTCGGTCTAGTTTTTGTAAACGTCGGTTGGTGAAAAAGTGAAGAAGCAAAGGGCGCTTTCCTTTCCACCAAAACTTCCGATCTTTTGGAAACGGTGACAATTTGAACGGAAATCTCGGGGGAAAGTTCGAGATTGTTGAATTTAAAGAAATACGAACTCTTCCACGCAAGAAAACTTCGTGGTAAAAGTTTTTAAAAATTTGGCTATACCTCGCAAGGTTGTCCTCTCTTTCGAAATTTTGTTCCACTGGCTATAATTGGTAGTTGCTGGAAATTGGAAAGCGCCCGAAAAGATAGTGACAGAAGCCTTTACTGGGTAGTTTCTGCAAAAAACTGCGAAATGTGGTGTTCATTCGGTTAATACGTAAACCAATCTTAAGAAAACAAAATTCTACAGAGACCGTTTGCTGGTGGTAAAGATATAAGGAAAAATTATTGTTCACTTAAAAGAAAAAGTAAGTTGTGATCTTTTCCTCTACCCTCGGTTGCGTATAACTCTACGAAAAACGCTTATAATCTATTCTATTTTACTAAACTCAAGCTGTTGCAGTAATTTTCGTTCATGCTAATAGTTGCAAATGTTGCCAATCTTGTGCTTGCGCCGAAATACTTGCAGCCACCTTTGTTGACCTTCCAGTGTATGTGGTAGAACAAATGAGTCACAAGAAAATACACGGATCCAGGGACGTTATTTAATTAAAAACAACGTTCTTCCACTCCGTCCCCAATTGAAGCGCATTCGGCACTTCGCCGAAACCAGTGTTACAGTTGGCAAATAACTTGACCTCGTCCGTTCAACCAACAAGGCCTTTTCTCTAAAAAGAAGAAGAATCCACATGTATTGCTTAAAGACTGGCCGAAAAAAGTCAAGTAAGTTTGTTGAGTTCCCATTACAGAGGAGTCTATATCATAGAGGTAGTATCAGGAAGGTGTTCCACTCCTTTCGCGGGTTAGAATGAACTCAGAAAAATTGGCCTGCTTCCAATGTATGGGTCTTCATAGCTCAGTTGGTAAAGCACTTCAGCGCTAACGCCGAGGCCATGGGTTCGAATCCCGTTGAAGCCCCGTTAAATTTGTATTCCAAGAGCTCATATCATCTTTATCCCAGGTAGGGATCTATAGAGTTCACTATCTTTGGGACCCAGAAAACTGCCCGTAAAAAGAAAAGATTTTTTTGCGGAAAGGGAGGTTCGACTGTACTGAGCACGAAGGCCAAGGATTCGTTACGTCAGGGACACTGATGTAAGTTAGTTCTACGACAACGTTCACGTTTTGCAAAACCGTTTAAACAGCAAAGGCTCTTGAATTCTCACGCGGGCAAACTTTTTTGTGGTATTTTCATGATTAATTTCTAGATGTGTGGTTTTTAACAATGTCGCGAAGATATCGAATCATTGATTTTTATCAGTTACATTGCAAGCAGTCTTCAAAAAAGTGTGGAAAGTGCAAATGTATTTTCCAACACCGCGACCGGAGCCCCATACCTAGGAAAATCTGCTAATCTAGCCATCCGAGAAATTTCGGTAATCACGTGACCGTACGCCCGTCCGTCCGCAACACAGGAAACCAATGTGAAATCTACTAAATCTATTTAGTATATGCTTAAACAGTGGATAGTGTTTTTCGCGCGCTCTGATTGGCTACTCACTGATTCACCTCCAGTTCCTCCGAGCGAGCGACGCCAAACTCGCGTAAGTTGCGAGCAAAACGCCTTCCCGGTTTGCTGCCGTAACAAGCAAAGAAGTTTCACAACTAATCAAGCAAGCTGTTCCCGAAATACACGAAGAAGGTGACGAGGTTCGGTGTGGAAGTTTTAACAGGTAAAGCTTTGTCTTTTTGACTCGAATTTATCGATAAAACCAGTGAAAAAGTTTTTTGTTTACAAATGCAAATTAAGCTTAAGTCTTGCGTTACTTTATTTAGTTGACTTGTTCTTAAATAAGCTTAAAACTAAATTTAGTAATCTTTTTTTGCAGAATGATTTTAAATACAAACAGAATTCGCAACTCCTTTTGAAGAAATTTCCCGGCAAGAGCTAAACAAATGCCTTCCAAAAGTTTTATTTGTCGGCAAGAAAAAGCGACGTATTTGAGTTAAAAATCATCATTTTTGTGCACAATTATCTCACTGTTTTAGTATATACTAAAACAATTATTCACCTCCACTTCGGTGAATAATTGTTATATATTTACCTGTGCATTGAAAACAATTATTCGCTCCCACCAAACTCTAGTGTGACATCATCGCCAATAAGTACGAATGGTGCCCAGTGTTTGACATCGCTAAATTCTTCAGATTCTCTCATGCAGTTCATTGCTTGGTTCAGGGCTTTGCTGGCGCTTTTTCCTTCCACAAGATGCTGGTAGAAATTTTTCATGAACTCAAGGGTGGCCTTGTCGTCAATCGCCCACAGGGATACCAGGACAGAACGAGCACCGGCACCCAAAAATGCCCGTGCTATGCCAACTACACCCTCGGCTTTGATTTTACCATGAGCACTATGACAGCAGCTAAGTACGACCAGTCTGGCTCGAATCTTTGCTCGCAGTACATCTTTCATAGTCATGATGAAATCCGTCTCACCCGGGTTTGGCGCTAACGCAATTTCGCCAGTTTC